TGTTTTCTATCAGTCTAGTCATTATTGAAACAGCATCCGTTTCTACACCATGGGAAGTGGTATTGAAGAGCTGTCACATGAATTGAAAGCCCAGGGATCATGTTTACAGAGACTTAAGGAAAGCATCTGATATAGTCTGCAACTGCCTACTCAGGGGAAAAAATTGAGAAATGTCATTAATTCAGCTGGTGTGTGTAGACCTGACAATTTGTAAGTGATACACTAAATCCAGAAAGTACAGTTAGGTTTCTTTTTTGGATTATAATTGAAAGCAAACTATGCTTCCTTCAGGAGACATGACCGAAGGGGGAATGGGGAAGTAGCCATTTGGAGAGTGTAACTCGTGGCCTGTCTTGTCAGCTGTGATCACAGCTCTGAGATTGCTGGCTGTCTCTGATGGGATCACCTTCAACAAAGACCTGGGCAGCTTTGCTCAGTTGTGGTAAAAAGAAGGTTTCTGCATTGTTTCTTTGGGTTTTTTTTCTTGCAGCTTTATAGCTCGTGCCTTTGTCACCTTGATACTGGCCTATGATAACATGTTACCTTGGCAGGCTTTTATGTTTATTAAAAAAATCAGTTTTGCAGTTGAATATTATCAGTGTCAGCTAATTTATTTTGCTGAAAGTATCTTAGTCTCTCAAAGAGCCTTACATGGCTTGGGACTTGCCTGTCTGACATCTCTGCCTAGCTAGTCCTGCCCTCCTGCCTCACATTTGAAACCACCATAAATCCTGATTTCCAGCTCTCTCAAGGAGCGTTGGAAACATTCCTGGATATGAAAGAGGGGGAACAGCTGGTGAGCAAGCATGGGAGGCATCTCTAGAGATGAGCTTCCCTGTTCAGAATACACCTGCCTTGTGCTGGAGTAAACTGGAGTAGATTGTACATTGCTAGTGGCACACTCACTGTTGGGTAGAGGTTCCTTTTGCTGTAGACATGATTGTGGTTGCATGGTTGACTGTGTTCACACCAATAAATGTATAAAATTTTGTCACTTGTCTGTAATACAGGGAAAGATTGATATAGCAGAAACTTTGTCACTACTTTGTAGATCTGTCTTTCCTCAAGGCCTTCCTTAATTTTCTGCCTCTGCTTTTAAAAAAATCTTGAAGATGTTAGGAAAAAGAAAGAAGAAGAATATCTTGGCTGGGACGTTCGTCATTTTGTTAAAAGAAAAAAGGCAGGGTGAAGCATTATAATCTTGGGAAGGTTTCGGCTTACTGTGAAATATTGTGTCCTAGAAACAATGTGGAAAGTTAAAAACTGTCATGAAAAGTATATTGTTTTTTTCATGGATGTGGCGTGGATTTGTGAGGTGAACAAACTGACTACATCTGCCTTTTGCTTTTCCTAGAATATGTTTTGTTTTGAAATCTGGAGAAGGAGAGCAATTGTGCGATGCAGAACTTTAACCATGCAGCTCTGTTGTAGGTCATTCATCTGTGATAAACAATTCATGTGGCCACTGTTGTGTTCACTTCCAGTGCCCTTTGTGGGGGGGGGGGAGGGGGGGCTCTTCAGTCCACACAGATTTTTGTATAAAGGATATTCATTACTGACACTCCAGTCATGCACCTTCCCCCTTCCCAATCCTTTCTCTGGCTTCCTTCTATCTTCTGGTTCTCATCCCCTCTAGGAGGACTGCAGTGATATTGCAAACTCTGACATTTATCTGTTATTGTAGTTTTTTCGACACATCCTTTCTCACATGTGCTTCATGTTTTCTGCCTGTCATTTCATGTTACACACAAGTCCAGTCAGCTGTAATTGCTTAACAAAAATATATGTGCTAATACAAAGCTAGAAAGAAAGTGCTTGCATTGCTGGAGTTACTTGCTAGAAAGCCTTCAGACAAGTTGCAGAAGACAGAGTGTGTTACTGCATAATAACAGGCACCTCTGCAGCAAAAGGAGATGATGAGGGAGAAATGTAGATACACTTTGCCCCAATTATCTTTACATCTTTATGTAGTTTCAATGCTTTCTCCTTCCCTTCCTGAATTAAAGTTTTAAATTGTGTACGTTAGTTCTGTTGTTTCATGTCTTTCCAGCAAGAAACATGCTGATAACAATTTTTTTTTCTTTTTTGCTAATGATTTGTTAGCAAGATTAGACATCTGTTAAAAATGTTGAGGTCAGAGGCCAAACACATTATTTTCTTTGAAAACTGCAACGAACATTTGCCAGTATATGTAAAACTTCTTTTTCAACCTTCTATCATTTTTAGAGCAACCTTCAATCATTTTAGAATATTTGATTTAGTATTACAATTCAGGGTTATATTACTTTGCAGAATAATATATGGAGGGCAAGTTTGCAGAGCTCAAAGTTAGGAAAACAATCTTTTTGCTGGTAAATTGAGCAAATTTATTTTTAAAGACAAGCAGAATTGCTGATGCAATCTTAATGTCCCTTTCAGACAAGTCTCGTTTTACATGAAATCCTAAGGCATTGAAGCAGGATAGAGTTGGCTAAATTTATTCTGTTGTTTTCATTTTTGTGATTAAGGGACAAATAATGTCTGACTCTTGGATATCTGTTTGTTGCTATTTTTCTATGGGATAGCTGGAAGAGGGTAAGAACTGGTGAAAGTATAGGTATTTCATTGAGAAGGCTCCATAGTGTGTGACACATTTAAGGTGAGCAATTCCTGAGAGATACAGTTTAGGTTTGATTAGTGGATTCATAAATTCATGCTAAATAAAATCAAATTTCTTTGACCATAGAAAAATAACAAAACTCCTAAAACGTTATGTGATTTACTCTCTCTCTGTCTTTCTCAATGTTTGGATTTTTTACTAATAAAACAGGAAAAAAAGGCTTTGGTTGGACCCCTAATATTTTTCTTTATTTTATTTTTTATCTGCAACAAAACAAACGGAGGGAATTTCAGATCGATTGAGGATGAAATGAAAGAAAAATACACCATCCTTGCAGTTGGGGAGCAAAATAAAAAAACCCTGTTATTTTAATACATGTATGTCAGTGTGACATTGCCAGGGAGGGATGGGAGTGTTTAGACAAGTGCTGTGGAGACCAAATGAAGTTTTTCCAATTTACTTGAAAGAGCTAAATACCATATTGTAATCTTTCTGTCTTTTTTTCCAGGTGTGATTTTTAACCATTTATGATGTTTTTGCAAGTCTCCATGTTATTTCATGGACAGAAAATACATAATTTTAATTGCTTGTTAATGCTAGTTAACAAATACTACAGAAAATTTATTTTCTGATAGCCAATTCACAGTTTATCCTTTGTATGTTCATAGAGTTTCTCCAGGATATGCACAATTGGCTAGAAGTGACAGTAATTTCAAAACAAGTACTACGGCTAAATGTAGGCTATTACATTCTGTCTCCAAATACTGTAAGAAGCATTCACTTGGTGTTTGAAATCCTCCTCTGTTTGTTGAAGAGTCATTTGTGGAGGGAATGACTTATGTGACTCCTCTCAAAACTTGACTAAATCTGCACACCAAAATAAGCTTGCAGTCATTATTTATGTCATCACACAAAGATTGTCTAGCTTTTGGACCAAATTTAGAATGAACATTTGAAAGGGTGAACAACATTAATTAATTCCCTAGCTTGGGTCTTTTGCATAGCCCATAAAAAGGGCCTTAGTAAGATGCATAGTAAAAAGTTAGAAGATACAGTAACTGAGGAATCCTGTGCAAGCTTAATTCAGTGCGTGTGTTCACATTTTGTGATCACATCCTCCTTTTTTATTCTGTAGAACTGTTTTCTTTTACTGCATAGATGGGATACTAATCACTAAGCAGCTCCTCAGAGTTTTGTCGCCTTACTGTTCAGTGTGTGATTCATGATCTGACTTACTACATGCCATTCAACCGCTCCTCTGAAAATGTATGCTTCTATGCATATTTTTCTGTTCTGCTCATCACTATGGTAAATAAAGGACTTTAATTTGTCTTCACTAATTTGTCTTCTTCCCCTCTGCACAACGATGGGCATATTTTAATCCTCTTCTTACAGATGGGATGCTGAGATACCAATTGTAAAGACAACCTTTAACTCTTGGATGCTTTATTTTACAACTGTATGAATTAGTTTTACATTAGGAAAAGAGAGCAAATAAGAAGTGTAATTTCCTAGGTGTTAAAAATGGAGCCAATCTGTCTCAAATTCCTTTGACTCTGTTTCTGCCTTTTCCCTTTCCTTCTATTTTCACGTTTTGTGTGTGAAAGGCATCTTGATGTCTTAGCTGAAACCTTTGGTTTTGGTTGGGAAGTAAGAAGGCTTGATTTTACAAAAATGCTAAAATTTAATTTGAAGGCCCTCCCTTTTTAATAGAATTTTTAGGAATTTTACTAAATAGTGTCTTAATAAATAAGAATTCAGCTCTATACAAGAACAAAACTTTAACATGAAAATAATTTTTACCTTTCTCTAGGAGTATCAGCAAAACAGAAATAATAAGAAATAAACATACATCATTCACAAACTTGAATTTTGTTGCAGCTAAATGGAACACAAACCTCAGAATAACTGAGCTTTGTTCTATTGTATAAGCCATGAATATTGGCAGGGGTTAAATTTGGCCGAAGTAAATTCTTCCAATCGTTCTTTTAAGTCTTTTCCAAAGTATTGTATTTTGGTATTTTTTGTAACTATAAGCCTTCTTAGGGGAGTGTTGAGAACTGTCTTAAAACGTATTTTTGTCTTAACCAGTTGTAACTACCTTTATTCAGTGCTAGTGGGAGTTTTCCAAGAGCACTGATGCTACCTAAATGTGGACTGTGTAATTAAACCTAGGAAAAGATCAAATTTTGCATTCAAGCTCTTACTATGAAAGCCTACTCTGAAACCTCTGACATTTTTAAAAGGCTGTAGAAATACTTAGCTTCTATACTTGCTAAAAATACAGGGTTTTCTGTTTAAACTGAGGAATAGCAGCAGAGTACACAAAATGCTATAAAGAAATGTTTGTCCCGTCTCGAAATAAATACATTTTCTAATGTTTTATTTGTTTGACAAACAGGTACACACAAAATTCCACTGCAGGCAAGCCCATGCTCCAGGCACTGACACTTCATGCTTGACATTTTCTTATGATGGTACTGTCCTTGCCAGCCGGGGAGGTAGGTAACTGAAGAACCCTTTGATGTGTTGAATGTAAGACAATTCTAACTTTACTAAGTGAAATGGTTTGTTCACCAAATCATTTAAATCGTAGCATCGTTAAATGTAATTGTTTATGGTGGAGGTAAGATGGTGAGATAGGATATTACTGATTTAAACTTGTAGTGTTTCACAATTTACATCTTTTATTTTGATACACTGTGCAATACTGTGTTCCTGAAAACACATTTTACAGCAGTAAAGGAATATTTTAAGAGAACTTTGCTGTTTATATTACGCAGTTCCTGATCTGTCTTCTGGTCTAGCATTAATAATACACCAAAAGGAAATTATTAGCTTAAAAATAAAATGAGACCAGTTCCGTTACTTAGTACTTTCTGGGAAGATTACTGCCTCTCAGTAAGAGTATCTGTTTTGGAGCTATTAATTTCTCAAGCTGCTTTCTTATGCAATGTCCTTTTCTGTTCTAATTGGAATTTTTATGTAATTTGTATTACAAACATCAAGAGGTGATGACTGGAAGTGTATGGCCAAGATGTACTTGAATGGCAAAAAAATTTGAAATGTCTGCAGGACAGGAAAAAAAGACTTGTTTTCTAAACCTCAGATAAAACTTTTTTAATAGAAGTCTTGGAAAACAGAAGAAGTCTTTAGAAGGCAAAGATGTATTTGAAGACTCATTCCCTCCAGCATAGATGTATTGGACAGGATGGTGTCTGTCTAAGTCAGCTTTTCATACAGAGTTTTTTCTCCCCACTACTTTGCAGGCAGGTGCAAGCACACAATCCAAGCCGTCTGGATGGAAACCAGCTGTAACCAGAAGCTATGTGTATGCATTAGCATGGCCCCCAGGCCAAATAAACAGGCCTAGGGAGGGGCAATATATGTTACTGTCAGCTAACATTGTGCCTAACATATGTACAGGACATCTGGTTGGTTTAGTACATAGAATGAGATTACGTACACAAAATTCCAGGGTAGCAGTATTCATAGACGGCAAAAGCTATGAAGCAGGGGGTGTGCTTACAAGCCAAGGGCTGTAGCTTGCAATTACTTTGTGTCTTCTGTGCCTGATGAGTAGAGTGGCATTGGTGGCTTTTTACAGTGTCTGACTTCATTGTATGTCTTGCCATGTTTCTAAGATTCCAAACATTATGTTCCCCAGGTCACATCTTTCAGAGTAAAATGGTGGTAATCTTGTCCTCGACAGCCCTAGGCTTACTAGGACGTGCTAATGGCACTTTCATTGTTTCTTAATTGCAGTTCAGGCTCCTTGATCCAGACCTCTTCTGCCACTCTACGTATCATGAATGAGTCCAAAGTGGTTGAGGTAAAAACTCTCAACCTTGCTCATCCTTACTGAATCAGACACTTACTATGTGAGAACCTTCTGTTTGGAAAGTAGGTGAACCATCTGTCTTTCTGTTCTGTGCTTAGTCAGGTGAAGTCCCTGAATATTGGAAAAAGAGAAACATTGCACCCATTTTTGAAAAAGGTAGCAAGGAGGACCCTGGGAACTACCAACGAATCAACCTCACCTCTGTGCCTGGGAGGATCATGGAACAGATCTTCCTACAAGGAGGATCATGTGCTAAGGCACATGGAGGGCAGGGAGGTGATTTGAGACAGCCAGCATGGCTTCACCAAGGGCAAGTCCTGCCTGACCAATGTGGTGACCTTCTGTGATGGAGTGACCACATCAGTGGTCAAGGGAAGAGCTACCGATGTCGTCTGTCTGGACTTCTGTAAGGTCTTTGACCTGGTCCCCCACAACATCTTTCTCTCTAATTGGAGAGATAGGGTTTGATGGGTGGAATATTCAGTGTATGAGGACTTGGTTGGATGGTCTCATTCAGAGCATATGAATGCAATGGCTCAATGTCCAGATGGAGATCGGTGACAAGGGGTATCCCTCAGGGGTCCATATTGGGACCAGTACTTTTTAATATCTTCATCAGTGACATTGACAGTGGGATCGAGTGCACCCTCAGCAAGTCTCCAGACAATACCAAGCTGAGCGGTGTGGTTGTCACACCTGAGGGACAGGATGTCATGCAGGGGGACCTGGACAAGCTCGAGGAATGGGCCTGTGAGAACCTCATGAGGTTCCACAAGGCCAAGTGCAGGGTCCTGCACCTGGGTCAGGGCAAGCCCCTGCTATCAATACAGGCTGGGGCATGAAGGGATTGAGAGCAGCCCTGCCCTGAAGAATTTGGGGGTACTGGTGGATGAAAAGCTGGACATGAGCTGGCAATGTGCGCTCACAGCCCAGAAGGCCAGCCACATCCTGGGCTGCATCCAAAGCAGCGTGGCCAGCAGGTCGAGGGAGGGGATTCTGCCCCTCTGCTCTGCTCTGGTGAGACTCCACCTGGAGTCCTGCATGCAGCTCTGGAGACCTCAGCACAGGAAAGACATGGACCTGCTGGGGCGGGTCCAGAGGAGGCCACAACAATGGTCAGAGGGATGGAATAGCTCTGCTGTGAGGACAGGCTGAGAGAGTTGGGGTTGTTGAGCCTGGAGAAGAGAAGGCTCTGGGGAGACCTTATTGCAGCCTTCCAGTACTTAAAGGGGTCTTAGAAGAAAGATGGGGACAGACTTTTTAGCAGGGCCTGTAGCGACAGGAGAAGGGGTAATTAATGGTTTTAAAGTAAGAGGGAAGATTTCATCTAGATCTAAGGAAGAAATTTTTCACACTGAGGGTGGTGAAGCATTGGCACAGGTTGCCCAGAGAGGTGGTAGATGCCCCATCCCAGGTCAGGTTGGATGGGGCTCTGAGCAACCTGATCTACTTGAAGCTGTCCCTGCTGATTGCAGGGGGGTTGGACAAGATGACTTTTAAAGGTCCCTTCTAACCCAAACTATTCTATGAAATGCTGCATCGGTCTGCAGTGGTGTTGTCACTGAAAAATTCACACAGACATACCTGATATGATTAAAGAGAAACCTTGGTGTGCTTTTAAATATTAATAGAAAATAAGTTTAATACTTATGTGAGGAATATTCACTAGTGCTGTCTTGAAACCTGCACTTAGGTAAATTCTCTTATGTTTCCCATTTATAAATGTAGATCACATAAATTACCTTTGCTTATTTTTATTGCATGTGGCACTTTTGGTTGCCTGCTCTTCCTTGTTTCCGGATTTGTGTTTAAACAGACTTTCACTTATGTTGTATCTATGACACTTTGCTCTAATCTGTACGAAATGCTGGTTGATTGTTTGCAAAATGTAAGACTGTACAAAAATTTGTCTCCTCAGTGTGGATAAAAGTGCTACCTTTGTCTAGTGTATTAAAGAAGAAGTAATCTGTGTGCACTATGCTAGAGAACAAGGAGTATTCATACCTTATTTTGACTTGTTTGGTCAGCGCCGTAATAAGAACATTGCTTTGGATCTGTATCAACAAAAGCAGATGTGTATCCAGCATTCGTAGATTAACACGTCTGCCAAGTGCTGAGGATCAAAGAGAGGATAGTTGTTTGGGGAATGGGGACTTTCACTGAAAGCCTAATAGATTCTCCTGCATTTGATGTAGATTCTGTGTTGTATATGAGAGAGGTGAGGCAGGGCTCAGCTGCAAGCGCAAGGGAAAATGAAAAGCTAAGGAGCTGCTTATGAGAGTTTCCAGTCTTACTTTTCTTGGGTATTAGGTAGTAACTTGACAGAAACTTAAGAAAGTGGTATTTTTGCACACTTGTAACCATGAAGTAATTTTTTCTAAATACAGTGAAGACAAATGGAACCTTTTCTTTGTTTAGCACTGAAGAGGTAAGTATTAGGACTGGACTTGGGATCCTATTATAAAAATCTAAAACCCCTTTTTTGACTCTGCTACGTACAGAATTTATGGCATTTTTGTCATAATATGAAGCAGTGGCTTCAATTCCATCAATCTCATGATAACGATTAGTCTGATGGTTCATTTTTTTTCTGTGGTATGAACAGTGTGTAGACTCAGTGCCATCTTAATCAGTGAAATTATATAGGAAAATGAAATTATATAGGAAAATGAGTCCACTGTAATTCAACCCAAGAAAAAATACTCACATCTAAGCCTATCAGATGGCTTATGCAGATACACGCTTTTTTTTGAGAGAAAAAAATTTTTTTTTTGTTTCCTTTTGATGTTTTGTTTTGGGGTTTTTAGTTTTAGCTGTATTTCTATTTTCATAATGATCTTGAGGAAAAATAAAATGTTTGATTTTGAAGGCGGCTATAAAAGTAGAAGCACCTTGAGTACAGTTTCCTGTATACTCAAGGATTATGCAGGAGCATGTATAGTGACTTTCTATTTTGTGTAGAATACTAATATATTTCTCTATGGTAAATGCAAATGTTAGCCTTTTAAAAATCAAGTGGTTTTCATCAGCTCACGGAAGGATACTACTGGAAAAAATCCATGGTATTACAGGAAGTTAGTATGTCTGTTTTGTTAGTGACGGTGATTTCAACTCCAAATGCAGATTAGATTCAGGAACCAATATCATATTTGCAACACAGAAAATTTTAATTAGAAAAAGTGAATTTGTACAAATTCTTAACTGTGGTGAGAGTTTCAGAGCATTGGCCAAGTTGTTCTACTAGCATTTCTTCCTTTCCAAATACTTAATCAACTATTTCTGCACAGTGTAAAACAGCGTTGATTTGAAATCAACCACGTTTTTTTGAGTCCTTCTAGAGTCTTCTAATTTTTTAAACCAGCAGATTACATTTTTGTGTTAGCAGAAGAGCTATAGCTACATGTCTGACTGCATCTCTCCTGCTAAAGCCTGGCAGGACTACAGCTTGAAGATCATGTCAAGGCTCATTCCACTAGGAACAGAACAGCCTTGGCTGCTAGCCTGAGATCTCACCCTATCCAGGAGGTTTGCAGAGTGGCCAAATGGTATCCTTTGCATACATTTATAAAGTGCTGGTGCTTTAAATATAACATCTTGCAGATAAGTGTTTTTTTTTGGGGGGGTGGGGGCAGAGAAGAGGAAAAGCGAAGGTTCATGTAACAAGTCCCAATGCTTTGAAGTGATTGGGTGGAGTTTACTGGGAAACAGTAAGAAAACAGATATTCCCAAAATAGGGACTCAACATTTTTCTTTCTTGTCATTTTTCAGCTTCCCAATGAACAGAAATATACTCTGCTCTAGACATCATTTATTTAAGTTGTCCACTTCTTAAAAATATTTTGTAGTAAGGAGTTATGCTAGTCTTTAATATAAACATACATGATGTACGAGGCCACACATTACTGCTTTCTCTGTAAAGGGTACTGCTGGCCTCGATTTCTTTTGTTACAGCATGTTACTTTTTTTTTTTTAACAATTTATTTCCAAGGCCTCCAGTAAGCTCTTGATCTCAAAGGCTGGGAATCCACAAAATACTTTTAGACAACAAAATTACTTCCCTGCAAGGTTTTTGCTTTGGAAGGAAGCAGGGCTGTGGATTACTGGTCACTTGCCACCTTTTCCAACTAGGTCAGGAAGATTTTGTAACTTTTTGTCTAAAATTAATTTCTGGATATTTTTAAAGAGAATTGTTGTTGGAAAGTCCTTCCTTTCACCCTCGAAAGTGCTCATGCAAGATGTCTAGTTGCCGGAGCGAGGTGCTTCAAAGCTCAGATCCTATAGCTTGTCTCATGCTGCAAATATGTATCCCAGAGGGTTGGTCAGCAGAGATGTAGATCTCTGAGAATAACTAGCTAAGCTCTTTTTTACACACACCCCCCCCCCCCCCCCCCCCCAACCCCAACCCCTAACCCCTACCCCCACCCCTCCCGTTCTCACTTTGTTAATATGTCCTAACTTTTCAAAAAGGAATAAACAGCCTGACTTTTACTGGCCTACAGTCACACTGTGTTTATCAAACATAGATGAGAATTGCTATAAATGTCTTGCTGTGACCTCAATTTTGGCTTTTATGGCCAAAGGTGGTGTGGAGGGGTGTGAAAAGGTTTCATTATAGCAAGTGTGGGTTCACTTGCTTCCCTTCTCCCCTTCCCCAAGGATTTCTGACTGATTCCAGGGCTTGTTCTCCCTACTGAGATTGCAGTTTGTTGCTGTTTGCCTGCTAAAGAAGGGGGAAGACTTACTGTGCCTTCCATTCTTCCTGATCATTTTTTGAGGGCAAGTAGAAACCAGACACATAAAACTTCTTTAGTTTTTAATCTAGACCATCTATGGTAACATTTTAATTTCTTTTAATCTCTTAGAAGTTACATTTACTTCTAGTAGCAAAGCACCAATGCTCACAAACTCGAAATAAATTAGTGTTTGGGGAGTCTGATTCCACCATGGATAATGGTTCTTGGTAGGAGGGATTGCCAAGGAGAAGTTTCTGGTCTACTAGAGTGCAGCAGGTGGAGCTTCTCATACTTGCACTTTCATACTCATTTAGGGACAAAGCATTTTGAATGCTTCTACCTTATCATTCTGTTCTTTTTGTGTCTGAATTAGAAGATGAAAATTTCAGCACATGTCTAAATTCTTGACTTAAATTCTTTATTGCTAACCTTCCTCCCTTTTGTTTCATAGGAGATGATACTTTAAAAATATGGGATATTAGGCAATTTAAAAAGCCTCTTAATTCAGCGGAAAGACTGCCCAGCTTCTTTCCAATGTAAGTACTCTAATTTATTTCAGCTGGTAGAAGTAGCAGTAGTTATGCTTGAATGGGAGAGAGTCTACCGGACTTCTCCTCCTCAGTTCTCACTAGGTCCAGAACTGAAAAGGACTGCACAGGGAGGACTGTGCAATGAGCATTCTAGGCTATTTTAGGACTTCACATTGCTTTAAAAGATCTTGTATTTTTTAGTGAAAATTAATAGTTAGCTTTGCTTGTTTTATGCTATTTTTCATTCTCGTATGTCTTATGTCTAATTAAATTAGCAGCTTTTCAGGTGGAGGCCGGTTCATTGCCTTATGTTTCTGTAATGAGATATATAAATAATCCTCATTCTTATTTGGTCTATGATTAATAAAAGAAGAGCTGGATTGAAAAGCAGACATAACATGATTGTATGGTATGAATGCAGGTTATGCCGTTAGAAGTGCTGATGACTGTTTTTTGCAGCTAAGATACTATATTGTACTACATAGTGCTGAGTATTGTATTTAATATTTTTATTGCTACCACCTGCATTTCCATAGCTGTAGCACAGCCAAATCCAACTCTTAAGGACGATAAGATCTTTTTGAAATAAGATCTCAGAAAGGCAGGTCACGGACAGCTCAGTCTTGACTATCATTTGTAGCATAGAGGAAAAGTAAACAGACAAACATTTTTGGCCACTGTATAAACACACTGCCTTGCACCATTGAAGAATGTATCATCAGCAAAAACAGATTTTATGATGATATTTTTTTTTTATTTAATGGTAATAACCAGACTTGAAAATACATCTTTTTTATTTGTTTCTCATGTTGAAAAGTTAACAGAATTTTTGAGTGGAGGAGAACTTTGTTGGGAGGAGGATTTTTATTGGATCTGCCAGTTTTGCACATTCTGTGCACAGCTGTAATTGTACCTGTGAACTGTGTCTGATAACTATAGTAATAGATAACAGCTGACAAAATATTTTTTAAAGCTTTGTCTTGAAAGGATTAACAAATAGAAAGGATTATTTTTAAGGAGTGCAATTTATATATAAAGTTCTCTACACATTAATTATTGATTTGCTTATTATGATGATTTGTTTTGTTCAACAGGACAGATTGTTGTTTCAGCCCAGATGATAAAATACTTGTCACAGGCACCTCTGTTAAGAAAGGTGGTGGCAGTGGGAAACTTTTTTTCTTTTGTCGGGAGACATTCCACAAGTTGTATGAGATAGAAGTTACAGATGCGGTATGTATTTTAGTTTTCTTTTGTCAACTATTCAGAATATGAATGAAAACATATTCATGTGCTTTTTTCCCCTTATACAGGTAATGACCTATTAAGACTACTGTAATTTTTCTGCTCCATATTTAACAGATAGTGGTAGAATGGCCTGAATGGGTGCTATACTCCTTTAAACTAAGAAAAAATAAAAAAAAATCTTGGGACAAGGTGTTTAAGCACTAGGAGATCCCTGCTTTGGTGTTAACCATTGCGTTTCTCAAGTAGTTCTGTGAACCCTTCTAGATCTGTGAAGCGAGGCATGAATTCTAAAATTCTTACATGTTTAGGCTGTTCACTCGACCAGTTATGATGGAATGCCATATTGTGACAAAATTCCTACTTGTCCCTGAAACTAGACTTGTGGTTACTATGGAATGCATTTCAATGGATGCTAGCTTGTGTAGGTGCATCAATTCCGTGGCAAAAGGAAGACAGCATTAGGAATCCCTCCATCAAAAGTACCATTCTCATCAGCAATATAAAACCTAAGATTGGAAATCTGTAATACAGAAGAGTCCATGTATGACTTGAACTGGCCACTTGTTCCCTTGTACAGAAGGAAAAAGCTCAGTATTATAAAAAGGTCATGTCACTCTTATGGTGTACACAAGTAAACTTATAGGTTATAAAAAACAGGAATGCAAGAAATTCAAACAGAATTGCCATTGCTTAAGTATGGCAATGTATGCCGTATGTTGCAGTCTGTCAGGTAGCAACTGTGTCGCTTTGTTTCAGGATATTGTTTTCTCCTTCTGTGCTTTTCTTAACCCAACATAGCAGTCTTTCCTAGCATAGTGGACCAAAAACACCTTGTGCTGGAGGTCATTTATACAGAATTTATGTTTATATTTACTTCTGCTTTCAAATCGCTTTTTCTCTTCTAGTTCATCCTAAAGCAAGATCTGGTTATGGATGATTTTGTTATATCCATCATTTTTGTGGCAGCAGTCTTGCAAATTAGAAATGCAGAATTCATGTCAAAGCAGAAAGCATGTGTTTTTTCTGGAGGGGGGTGGGAAAAACCCTGGTTTTTTTTAAACATATATTCCAAATACAGTTTTTATATGACATTGGAAGTTTTATTTAGTACTAAAGAATTTCTCCAAAGTTAACATTTTAAATTTATCTCCTGTGGAACATACCAAACCTCAGCTGAACTCATGAGGATTTCTAGTGGGTTATTTTTCTGATACAAGTGTTATAATCGAGTGTTTATAACCTTTTTATGAGATAAAACATGAATGCCTCAGCGTCCCTTCTGAAACTTCATGACAGAGAAAAGGAAAGCAACTACATAAGATAAAGTGCAAGAGGTCAGTTGTTATAGGAGCTCTTCTGTCTGTGCACACAAGGAAGCAAAATAGCTTAGCAATTCCATTCGCAATGAATTTGGTGTCCTTAGAGCTAGATGTCTGGATGTGGTCATGATGGCATCTCCATTTGCAGGTGGTCAAGTCAGTTACAGTGTACAGAATCTTCATTTGAGCTTTAAGACTGCAAGAATGAGAAACTTGTCAATGGTGGATCCTGTATCTTTGAAAGAAATTAAATAGTGAGAATTACTGCTCACCAACTACCTGTTTTGTGTTCAAAGGAAATATAATTTTTATTGGCTAACCTTGTCTCCCAGAAAAAGAGTTCTTTAATTCTCTGAAACAGAGAGTCTGTTCATCTGCTGAGGTAGATAATGCTACAGGAGAGTCCAGAAAAGATTGTTTTGCTATCAGTTTCTCTCTCAATTGAGAGGTAAGGTTCTGTTGCTCTGCTTCAAAATGCGAGAGAGATGTGGAGCTGAGAACCAACAGTAGGAAATTGTTGGAAAAACAAAATTAGGGGTCAGTAAACGACTTCACTGGGGCCACTCATGTAGTAAAATTTTAAGTATGTGTACAAATCTCAGCAGGCTCATAATTTTATACTGTAAATTTATATAGGTGCTGAAATTTTTATGGTACTTTTTAAGACTAGTAAATTACTTTTGTCTACAGAGTTTTAGTGCTGCTGTTTTTCTTCATTTGTAGTTACAAAATTTAAAGCTGTCATTCTCCTCTTTTGAATATAATGGATCAAATGAAAATAATGGAAATAATAGGTGAAGAATTGAGACTTATAAATGCTGATCTTATGATGTAATTTTCAGTGAGCCAGCACTAATAATACCTCTACAATCAGTCTGTCTAGCTTCTAGCTTCAACAATACAGATCTAAGAAAAACACAGTTAAGCATAACCACCAGAATCTAAAAGAAGAAAAATTACTATAAGTAATGTTATATAAAAAAAAAGCAGTGTATTTTTTTCAAGGTCCTTCTATTGCTTGTATCTTTCGTCTTTGTCCTTAGTGTTCTTTTCTTGTTCTCAAATTGCAGTGTTTGATGAAATATAAACCCATAAAGGCATGCTAAAAACAAATGAATTTTCAGGAAGCTGGCTTTTGTATTTTATAAGCAGTACATGCTGTTTATCAGAAAGATCATTGGCCCACATATTGGTAGATTAATATTTTGTGTGTAGTTTATCAAAGCATTTTTTCAGCAGTGCAGTAATTGCTTGCTTTCTATGCACTACTTTCGTAGTTTCTGCTTTTTCCTGATACTCTCTCAAAAATGTAGAAAGCAGTGTAATTAAAGATAAGATGTAAAGTTGCCTAAGACTTCAGTTTGTCTTCTGTAACTAAATATCATACGACTTCACCGTTTGTATGTTATCGAGTACTTAAATATGTAATTTCAGTGTGTCTATTTTGGGGTTTTTTAGGCACTGCATAGATGAGGTTCTCTGAGCAACCTGATCTAGATGAAGATGTCCCTGCTCATTGGCGGGGGTTTGGAGTAGATGACTTTTAAAGGTCCCCTCCAACCCAAATTGTTCTATGATTCTATGAAGTTATGCTATGCTAATATGTGTAGTAAAAGCACAAATATACCAATATCTGTCTCTGCAAAGAGCTTGATCTACTTTCATTCCTCATGAAAATAGTTTCAGTGATTTCAGTTGTATTTAGTCCAAATTGCTAAAGAAAAAGGGCATCATTAGTCATTTAGTTCAAGTATAAAATGAAAATAATAAGGCTTTTTGAGGGCAGTTGTATACCAGTTTAGTGATAGAACATTTATAATCAGAATAACAGAAAATCTACTGTGAAGAGAAAACATAAACTATTAATGTGTTACTTTTTTCATTTCATGAGGATTTTTAAAGGAAATGCTGCTAAGCTTAGAAAATTGAAAAACATGGAAGAGCAGTAAACATTATCTTAAACCTTCTTGGTAAATAGCCAATGCAATTGGCCTGTGAGTGAACCCAGGGGGTAATGGGAAAATATTTAATGGGAATGTTTGACCAAAGCTGTGTCTGGCATTCCTTTCCATAATACCACACAAACCTTTTTTCACCTTTTCTTTCAAGTTTTCATGGGAAAACCCATTAATGTTTCAGAACTGCTGGAATGAAACATTGTGGTTTTACTAATGGACCAACAGTCTGATTAGTCTCTTCTGTTGTGGCTGTAGAATATTAATTTGCTTTTCATTTCACATACTAGGTTTTTGGTTGGTTTTTTTAGTCACAATTTGTGGCTAAAGTAGCGACTATATCATTGTGTCCACGATTGAATGCTATCCCTCCATGCAGGCATTGGGACTTCTCTAGAACTCAAGCTTCTTGGATAAATAGCAATACTTTTTGAAGGAAAATGAAATAAATGTCAGAAGTGGTGCAGACCATGGGCTCGGTCTCTGGCCAGTAGCAGTGTGCCTGCAGGAGTGAACAGGGCAAACACACAATGGTGCTTCTCTGACTGTCCTGTTCTGCCTCTGGTGATCTGTGATGTAGAGATACATTGATGCAGACATAGAAATTTTCAATTTGTAGCACTCAGTGGATTTTTCTTCCATGAGTTTATCAAGGAGTGAAATTACCCATGTTGCAGGTTACTGGCAGCATCATTTACCTACTGCAGATTAGATCAAAACTTGGGGGTCAGAGCTCCTGCCTCTCCCACTCTCATAAGGATGCTCTGTGTAGAGTACTTCAGCCTTGCTCTGGCTCAGTGTGTAGAAGTGTGATTGGAAATGATGAGAGCTTCATACTGTGACCATAGTTATGTATGCTAAACTGTACAGAATTCCTCTCTTGTTAAGAAAAACTGAACCTGAAAAAATCCTGTTATGCACATGCAGCTTTTCCATAGTTTTTCTGTCTCTGTTTCTTCTATCTTGACAGTATTAGCTGTGAACAGTTCTATTGCTCTCACCTCAAATATTCACAAGAAAATATTTATATTAAACTTTCTCAATTTGAGCATTTGAGGCTTTTTTTATTTGAAAGATTTATAATTGCACACAGAATATTTCTTCACTCCCTTTAGATGGATGAGGAGCCTTAAACAGATGTCAAGAAATAAAACTGCCAGAAGAGGGGTACAAACTGTATGCACAGAAATTCAGAGGCCATTTCCCTTTCATTTCCTGAGGTAGTGTGAGAGGAAGGAAAATCTCTACCTGCTTTGAGGTGAAGTCTCATCTTTTGGGATATCTGTAACTGTCCTCTCTGGAATGGAAGGGAAATTTCATTGTCAGATGCAAGTCAGGGAGAGATTATTCCTAATTCTTGATTTGGTTATACAGGTATGAGATCTTCATGGGAACCAGTTATAAATACCTAATGTGTGGGAGACAGAATTGGGTACACAACATTTCCCCCAATGTCAATTTAATTTAAAATAGCTGTGGATAGTCACTTGAATCACCCTCACATGTCTATCATTTGTTTGGCTAGTTCAAACAAATCACCCAGTAGTTATCCTTATTACAGACAAGATTGATTTTGGCAGCAGTAGAGCAGTCATTTTCCCCAGATGGAAGGGAGTAGTAGTACACCCTGTTACTGCCAAGCAAGAGTGGGCACTGGAAAAAAAAAAGTACAATTTCAGAAATTGCTATTTTTAAATGAAAATGTAAGTAA